CAGCTTCTTCCACCAACAACTGTTAGTGGCTGTGTTCGTTCTTTGTCTACCGATTATATGCGTATGATGCATATATAATCCTCATTTTTCTTGCGTTTTTTGTCTGATCAACGGGAACGCGCTCCTCCACGGGAGCAGCCATGTTTGTTGTTGTTCTTCTGTTCTCGCCTCTGAATGGGAGAGCACACCTGAAGGACGCGCTCTGATTGGCTGACGGCTAGGCGGCTTGATTCGAGCGTACTTTACCAGTGTGATCAGGCTACCGATATAGTTACATTTTTAAGTAATTATTGTAAAAATACTGGCGCAAAGCGATTGGAGAACTTTTGGTTATGAGCTCAAAATGCACTAAGGATTTTTTTGCAGGTGTCATTTAGTAGTCCCTCAATAAGTGGAGCGAAACTTAACGATACAGGCTTCAGCCTATGGCCTAAGAGGAATGATGGAAAGGCTGTGGAGGGTGGACAGGCAACTGATCGGTGGTTTTAATAGACCAGGTAATACCCTTTGCTGGAGAGCCAATAGGAGGAGCATTGAGGAGCGCAACCTGCAGGAGAGACTGGGGACAACAAGGGCATCCTAGTACTGTATAAGGAGCACTAGAACATTGTGTCTAGCCTGTTACCATACTAGGTGAGGAAATCATTCAGCAACTGCCACAGGAAAGTTACTCCTTCTCAAAGCTGCTCCTGCTTGATTGTAATGGACACCAGCTGGATCCAATTTTTATTGTGCAACATGGAGGTAGGCTGGGAAAGCCTAACACTATAACACCACAGATCTGCAGACCTAACAGATCCTACCAATTTTTGATAGAAATTCAGCATTAGAAAATGTTTTTTGTACGCAACACAAAATAATTGTTTGACCCCCTTTTAAACAGAGAGAATACATTTTTTCCCCAGCAGGGCCTCAGCATCAGTTGGGGTTAATATTTTATTGACTGCTGAAATATATTAATAACCAATTGGAGGCTCTTACATGTAGACTTAGGTCATGTAGACTCTGATGGCATTTTTTAAATTGTTTGTTTTTTCCTGTTTGTTGGTTTGAATGTGGGTTCAGTTTCATACTATGTTACTAATTATAGTTTGATTAACTTTTTATGTGTAAACTGTCTTCTGTTATGGACACAGTGTGTTGACAAAGGGGGTTGAAAAGCATTAGCTCCACACTAGAAAATAAGAAAATTGAATTCATTGGATGTGTATCCTGGAGGAAGAATTTATAGGACTATAGTGGTACTAATACCCAATTCCACCCAGTGAAAAGACCTCCTACCTTGTGTCTTCAGAATCAGAATCAGAATCAGAATTAGGTTTATTGCTTATACAGTCCTATTAGTGTTTGTGCTGTTTCTAGTTGGCATGTCTGTCGAAAGTTTCTATTAGACAGTAGTGTCCTTGCCCAGGTTGGAAATTTGTGATTAGGGCGACTTTTGTGAAAGTTTTATTAAAATGGGTTATTGATATTAGGTACTTTATTCACTTCATATTCTTTTCATTAATTTAATTTTGTCTGAAGTTTCTACCAACTATTCTCACTACATTGAGCAATTAGATTAATATCCCTGATCAGTATAATGTGCACAGCCTATGAGGTAGACAAATCCCACATAACAAGTTTCAAACACTGTGGTCGAGGGCTTATTATTTGTGCTCATTTTGCAGGCCTGGGCTTGGCCACATAGAGCTTAGAGATAGTCATATGCCAGGACTAACCATACCAGCAAATTCCCAACAGTATGACTAATAAACAAAATACTTTTGTAATGCTGATATAGGAACTTATGGAAACCTTTCATAAAAAAATGCTCTCATATAATCAATATGGTATTCATTTTATTGTAAAGATGTATTCTAAAAGATGTTATTTATTATATATAAAGGGAAAACCTATATTTTTAAAGAAGGTAGCATACCTGGACTGTTCACCATTACATCTAGGTATCTTTATTATACGTGAATGCAGTGTTTGTCAGATACTGGCACCAATCTTTTTGAGATTGATACTTCTTGTCAAATTGTTAAGTGAATAACTGGCACCACTCACAGCAGCTAAAAAAAATTCTCTGCACAGAAATACCACTGGAGAGCTGCTGCATTTTGGCCAATTTGAAATTTGAAAAGTTCCTCTTTTCGGAATTGATTGGATGAGTATAATCAACTTCATCTCAGTGCAGGGAAATGGAAACGTAGAAGAAAAAGACTGATGAACTCCCAAAAAACACTTGATTCTCTTAATATCCATGATAAGAATATTTGATGTCTTATTTCAAGTAAGGTGTAAAAATGTAGAGGTTTTTTTTGGATGCTGTCAAGGTTGGAAAGGTTGTTTATCAAAGACCTAACATGCAGCCACCGATGTGTGGATCACATGATAATCCTGATTACAAGAGGGTGAAGAGGATTAGGTTTACAGGTAAATTGAGACATTGAAGAAGGGTAATTGTAAGTGAGTTTTTATTAGGTTCCTATGTGTCTATGTGTGAATGCCTGGGTATGTGTGAGTAGGCATTCTTCTGAATGTGTGAGGGTGACTCAGAGACTCAGGTGAATGTGCCACCCACTAAAAATTCAGACCCACCAATAAATAGACAACCTCTAACATTAGGTCAAACTCCCAATGTCTCCCAGACCCTCCATAAACTGTAAATCAGCAAGGTTTTGATACCGACACATTTTTTCATGTGGGGACTGAAGTCTGTTGATCTGTGGAGGGAAGCTGCACGTCTACCATCAGACAAAGGGGTGCAGAGATTTACATCAGTTATACAAGGGAATCTTGGTTTTATGTTTTTTGGATACAATCCGGGTTAGCACCCAAACATCCCTTTCAGACAGCTTCTGCTTGCGTCCACCGTTAATCCTGTTGGATGTGGTTCGTCCTTCTTGGTGGTATGCTGACATTACCCTGGATACCGTGGCTCTTGATACATCACAAAGACTGGCTGTCTTGGTCACAGATGCGCCAGCAGGACGTGCACCAACTATTTGTCCTCTTTTGAACTCTGGTATGTCAGCCATAATGTTGTGTGGATTGCAATATTTTGAGCAAAACTGTGCTCTTACCCTGCTAATTGGACTTTCACAGTCTGCTCTTATTGGTTCAATGTGCAATTAATGAAGATTGGCCACCAGGCTGGTCCAATTTAGCCATGAAACCTCCCACACTAAAATGAGAGGTGTTTCAGTTTCATTATCCAACCCCTGTATGACCTCTTGTAGTAAGCTGAGAGGATGAGAACAAAAGAGCTGGAGGACACACTGTTCTGGTCTAAGGTACACAGGCTTTTTTCAGTGAAAGGTGAAATGCTCCTAAAACTTGCGCAGCATCCTCGGCATGACATTACTGCCATAGTACAAAATGAATGTGTTTGAGAGCATTGATTAGTTACACTTAATAGAAAAAAAAAATCAGCACAAATAAGTCAGATCGTGTGCACAAAGATACCCCAATCTCATCAATTGTGCCTACTTCTCACCCATCTAGATAGCTGTGATGAGATAAACATTTGCCCATTATTTTGCACTTCTTTTGTCACTTGTCACTTAGGGCAAGTAAGTGATATATTTTTCCCACCCAATAGTCAAAGGTACTTGCCCAGAATGAAAACTGTTGGCGAACTGGCAGCATGAGGGATCCTGGTTTGAATCTTTGCTGTTGTCCTTTCTGGTTTAAATTTGCATATTGCCCTTGTGTATGTGTGGATTCTCTTCAAGAACTCAGACTTCCTCCCACAGTCCAAAAACATCAGGTTGAACAGGGATTCTAAAATGACTGTAGGACAGAGAGTGACTGTACTTGGTTGTCCGTCTCGTACATCTCTGTGTGGCCCTATGATAGGCCACTATTCGGATTCTTGATATCCTGTTTTTTATTCGTTTTATTGTGTTTTATTGGCTTTTACTTTGTAAGCTTTGTCAGAGTTGCATAGATTGAACTCAAAGTTGGCTGGATGACGGTGCTATGTGTTAGCAGTAATACTGCAGGATTGAAATTAATTAATCCAGCTTGCCTTTAGCACAGTGTGTGGTTGGCAGAAAGATTCTATAAAAAGCAACATTGAAGGGTAGTTGTAGCCTCTGTATTAACAAAGTACAGAAGCATATTCTAACAAATAGGATTATATATGTGTGTGAAAAGAAACTTTTAATGCCCATTTTGCACAAGTCAAACTGACTTAGAGAGACAGTTCAGCAGATTTTTTTCTTTTTCATTCATTTTCGCCTTGATTTGGATCAATGATTTTAGAGGCATGGGTTGACTCCTTTATCTCCCTCTCTTCCTCAAGGTCTGTGTCTTTTCAGATGACAAACTAACATTGTAATTCCTCCATCTCATATCAGCTCCATAAACTCAGCTACTCAAGACCAGTATTAACTAATACAGTGAACTATAAAATTATTATATTAGTTATATGTATAGACAATCATTTTCTTATGTCTTGACATCTGACTACTACAAACTACAATTAGAGCTCTAAATTCCTTGTTAGGTTAAACATACAAGAATGGTAATTTATAACTAAAAAACATTTTAACCGATGGTAAGGTTTATTTGAACAGCTACGTAAAAAGACTTGAAAACTTCACACTTCAGTGACAGCGGCATTGTGTAAAATTAAAGCTAGGAGGAGATATGAGGCACAAAGGAAAATACTTTTTTTGAGTTTTTAGGTTGGTGGTGACTCCGGATGCCAACATTTGTGCTTTCTATGATATGACTTACATAATTAGTTTATTGCTACCATGTGGTAAATGAGCCTGTTACTTATTTTTTAGAAAACAGCAGTTTTCCTGCAGCGTGATTATTATTTTCATTTGTTCAAATGCAATAGATATTGATTTTGCAAGACGCTGCAAAGACAGATGGGATGAACTTCTTCAGTTGTATTACTTCTGCTTTCATTTCCTGGTTGCTTGTAAAATCATTTTCCTGCTCTCCAAATCTACTTCATGTCCAGAAAAGTGATCATTTACTTTATATGCCTTTTCTACAGGGCTACAGCTCATCGGAGAATCCCTCAAGTCCCAGTTTACCCAGCACGCAGCATCCTCGAAGTCGGCATAGTTTTGTCCAAGAACACTTCCAGGCTCAATACAGGTGAGATGGAATAAGGTACAGGGTGTATTTAGATACTGAAGAATGATGTTTTTTCCATAGTACTTAAACATCTTAACAAGTTTAATGTTAATTAGTTTTTGGAACCTTGAAGATTTCTGGATCTGAAAGCATATGGCTGAGTTTCAGTCAGAAAAAGGAGAACTACTCTTTTACTTATTTACAATGCACTATAGAAAACTTCATGGGGCTGTAATAGAATAAATGGAGTGCAGTGCACATCATTATAGAAAAAATATATTGCACCCTGGTGAGAATTTATTTCTTTTCCTGAGGATAAAAGTCTGTATATCCTGGGTGGAAAGAAAATAGGTCAGACAGACCTATGAAGGACTCAGGCAATTTATCTCTAGTACTAGCTTCTGGCTCTCTTCGCCTCACTCACAGTGGTAAGCCAGAGTCTGATGTTTTCTTGTTTTAAAGACCCTCTAATGGGGACTGACTTAAGGCCTTTTAGAGACCTTTTCAGCATGTAAAGCTCCCTACTATCATATTAAATCATACTTGTTCTCTTCGCTTGGTTCCTTAATGCTGTGACTTGCCCTAATGAACATGTCTGGCTTTTATCTGGAAGACCATTGATATTTTGATCACAGAGTTACATGATTTGAAATTGATAGATTGGGAATGGGAGAAAACCATTTTTACTTCTTGGCCACAATATATTGACTTGTGATAAGAATAATTAAATTCAAAGTTGTGTGTATTTTTTGTATCCGTATGGGATTGCCTGCCGTGGACAAATACGGTATTTCCACATATTCAAAAAATAGCACAGGCAGTATAGATACCTCGTTTTATGGTATGCAACATTTTATTCAAGAGTAGTTGTTAACTTTAAACTCATGGGAAATAATAGAATGCAGCTGATTAAGACCGTGCAACAATTATGCTGGCTTTGAAAAATAAATTATATATATATACATGCATATAGAAGCAAATGTCTGTTTATGCAGCTTGTGGGTGACATATACCCTAATAGGTCCAAAATGTGTAAACTAACTGCTAATGAACACAGGTCACTAATGCATGATACACAATATCTATCTAAAGACTGCCTGGGTGATGAGTTATGATTAGATTAGTAGGGTGACAATTTGAATTAGTTTTTTTATATTAATCTCTCAAAGCAAAAAACACATCCATGTCTTTTGATCTCTAATCTAAGATTAAGGGGATTGTTTTCTTTAAAACTTTCACAAGGGCCCCAATTAGCAAAGACACTTAATATGTCTGATAAATCGTGAATTCAATCATCTTTTTAAACTAAATGTTTAATCACTTGACCTTTTAAAGTAAATAAATTTTTCTATGGAAACAAAACTGTTGTATAGAATAGGGTTTGGCCTTGTCATGAGGTCTGAGGCTGGGTGCTTTACAAGATAATCCTTTGTTTTTGTAATATTTTATTTCAAATTTATTTGAATTTAACACTGAACAAAATTCTTTTCAACAGGACCGTGTTCTGCCTTTGTATCCTGCAAGAGAAAAACAATCATTGTGTCATCTGCAAATTTTTAGATGTGTCAGTTTGGGAAGGTGCTACTACAGTCATTTGTGTAGAGAACAAACAGGAGGGGGGGCAGAACACACCTCTGTGAACCAGCAGAAGAAAAAAAAAAAAAGACCATTTATTTTTGTCCTGCTGGGGCCTGTGCATTCAAAAGTTTCAAATCCGGGCTGCTACACAAGGACCAATTTGGAACTGAGTTAAAAGTTAATGTAACAGAATGTGGGATTTTATAGTATTGAAGGCAGATGATCTTCCAAACGTTTGTACAGTTGATTCAGTAGAGTGATGGCAACATTCTCCACCCCCCTTCCTGGTTCAAGGTGATTCTGAACTTAAAGGAGTAGTTCCTTTCTGATAAAGTTTTCCCAGTGCTTTCATTACTAATGACGTTAGGGCTATGGGGCGAAAATCATATTGCTCTTGAGGAGCTTAGCATTTGGTGAGGGGGACAATGATAGATTTTTTCCATATATTAGGAATTTTACCAGTTCCAGGGGCAAATATAATAAAACACACTGGTAAGTTGCTGTGAACATATGTGTGAAGTCTCCCTGAAATAAAATCTGAGCCGGGACATTTATTAAATTCCCTTTTCCTGACTGAAGGAATTTCCAACATTAGCTAAATCAAAGAATAAGTTGGCTGTGTCAATGACAGTGGGAGGAAAAAAAGTAAAAGAAATTGGTTCCTCAAATCTCAGGTAAAGGTAATTGCTTGCCTCTGCAAGGTTTTTATCGCAGCTAAAACTATCCAGCCCGTCAAAGATCTCAAGCCATTCCATGCAGTTTTAAGTCATTGCTCATGAACTTATTTTCGATTTTGTCCGTATACTTAAAATTTGCTTTAGTTATTCCTGATTTTATTTACATTTCTTATCCCTGTTAAAAGCTCTTTAATGACCCTCGGGTTACTGTTTGGATAAGGTTTCACTTTGTTTGAAGGGATCACTGCATTTTCACAGAATACGATATACTGTAGCTCGAAAGACATTGGTCTCTCTGTCTCTGCAAGAATCCACAAAGACATACAAATCTGTACATTCAAAACAGAGGCAACTCTCACTATCCGCAGTACCATTCTTCAAGCCTGGTCTATATACCGGGGACCAAGTGGATAGTGTTTTGATCCTATGCTCCAAATGAAGGTTTTCCATGTACTTTGTAGGTATTTTTTATAGATCCATAACAGAGATCCAGATCTTGTTTCGTCTAGTTGGGCAGGCGATGTATTGTTGGAAGCCACTAAGAGAATTCTTTCCATTCCAGTGATTAAAGTCTCCCATAGCCAGGTTAAGTCCATCTGGTGCAAGAGTTTGAAGCTTATGTTCAACTTTAGGAATTACTTTAGTAGCATGTTTGGCATTGACCTTAGGATGATAATATGCCACTGGTAAAAAAATATCTGAGGAAATTCTCTGGGCAAATAAAAAGGTTGAACTGAGAAAGAAAGAAGTTCAGTGTATGCAGTGCGTATCTTCTCACTAATGGTCAAGTTGTTGCACCATTGACGATTTATAAACAGACAAGCCCCTCCACCCCTGCATTTTCCTGTGATCAATCCATCTCTGTTCAAACAGACCTGTTCCCCGAAACCAGTTATAGCCAAGTTGGGATCTGAATCATTTTAAGCCAAGTTTCTTTAAAAGCTGCAACACATGCATTTGTGTAATAAGACAGATGCATATCTTTGGCTTGTAGTTATTCAAATTTGCCCCTCAGTAACTGAACATTAGCCAGGAAAATAAGGGAATGGGATGCAATTTAGGCCTAGTTTTTTTAGACGTGTCCTCACACCGCTTCTTATCCCCCGTTTCCATGTGTGATAGCAGTTCCATGCCAATGACGAAAGATGACTTTAACAAGTTCGGTACCTGTAAAATACTCCTGGAATTCATAGCCTAGCTCCAGCCTGTTAAGTTTCTGCATTGAATCCCGGGAGTAATAAATCCGACGTGATCGTTGGTGTTCTTCTAAGGCTAGGGCAAGGTAAAGCACAGTCCAGACCAGGACCACCGCAATCAGGTCCATCGTGCTCCATGTCAGTTCATTGCTAATCTTCGTAATTCACATAGGTTTGCTAATAGCTGCCACTTTAGCAGTGAAACGTCTGCTGTTAGATTTGTAGCAAGTGGCAGAAGAGGAGGGTTAACTAGAGTTTTGAAGATGGAAAATAATTAACAAGTGTTGTACTGTGAATCTTTTTAGTTTAGAAAGCCTTTTTTGCATCAGTGACACTTACAGAGAGTGATGACTGCCTTATTAACCTCAGGGGAGGAGAACTTGTTGGAGTCTGAAAGCGCAGATGCAACAAGGGAGGAGAAGTGGGTGGGTGAAAGATCTGAATTGAATGAAATTGTGGTCAGAAAAGTGCAGAGGTGTGACAGAAATTTCCTCTTTTCTCATGAAAATTAAATCTAGCGCTTTGGCAGAATTGTGAGTCGGAGAACTGCGGACCAGTTGCATGTGAAATTCGTGCATTTCTGGTAGCAAATCAGGAAAATTAGGGCTGTCAATGTGGATATTCTCATCACCAAGGACCATTTCGGGACAGCAAGATGTCAAGTTCATCTAAAAAGTCACTGAGTTGTCCTTTTGGGAGAAATATGACAGTCATGCAGATTTTGACTGGTGCAGTTACCAATTGGGAATTGTTGTGCCACTGTAAATGACTTCAGAGTACAGTCTGGACCTGCTCTTTTTGAAAAGCGCTGTGAGACAACTATTGTGATTTGGCGGTACATAAATAAAATTTAATTGAATATTCAAAATTGGTATTCAAAAGTGTTATATTTGACACTGGGTATCAGTTGATTGTATTGGCTTTTACTGAAGATTTGCAGGCCTGTTTCACCACCTTGCTATGAGAGAATGTGTGGTTGGTCGAAAATGCAGCCGGGTTGCATTGTTTTAAGGCTTATTCCAGGTCTCAGTGAGAGCCAAGATGTCAAGTGACAGGTGTTTGGCCTTAGCAGTTATGAAGTCAGCTTTGTTTACTGTGGAATGGCAGTTTCACAATTCCATAGACAAGGACATGTCATAGACTGAGGTATTTTTGAGAGGGCAGAGGTTATTAAGGTTGTGGTGCTTTTTGGTCATGGAAACCTTCGAGACAAGAGGAATTTGATTGAGGAAAATTAAAAAAAACAGATGGTAGGACTGGAGCGACAGCAGATATGGCAAAAGGGACTGGTTTACCTTGTGAAATGGCCTTGCTTGGTGGGCACGCAGAATAAGACCCCCAAGTTTTTATCTGTGTGCTGCAGTGAGTTTTTAAAGGTCCTTGCTTTTAGTAAAAATGTAAAGCCAACCAAGAGTTTACTGACAAGTTGTTTCAAAGAGGGGAGTGAACACCCATTCAAGGCCCCTGATGAGTCTGATTGTTTTGCGATAGCTCCTTCGAGACTACAAGACAATTGGCTTCACACACATATGGGTTTTGATAACATACACACTAGCAGATATGATTTTAGAAAAGAAGCCTAGAAAAAACATACACTTGCAAACACTGAGCATGTGATGTTATAGCATCCTCCACTGTACATGTGGGACACTTCACACTCGCAGTTCACACTGGATTATCACCTAGGTGTCACATATATTGGAAAATGTTTCACGAAAAATCGGATTATTGTTCTTCAGCTTGCATTGTCAACGCAGCCAAAAACAAAGGGACTAATTAAAAACCTGCCGGATAGTGGCCCTCAAGGACTGGCATTTGACGTCAGTTAAGTTGTACTGAATGGTAAACTAAGACCAGGTATTAAGACGAGGGTCATTTAAACAGGTGACTGTAGCTCAGGAGGGAGAGCAATATCTTACCACCAGCTATGACAAGGCTTACCATATGTTGAAGTGTCCTTGGGCAAAACACTGAACCCCTCATATCCTTGTAAGTCACTTAAGATAAAAACAGCTGCTAAGAGCATGAATGTAAAGTGATTAACAAGGGCAATAAGGCAAAACTCATCAAAAATGAAAACAGGTTCTCCATATTAAAGCAATATATTGAAATGGTAAATATCTGAAATGGCCAACAAAAGCCAAGTCAAAAGAACTAAACACAAACAGGTTTGTACCAAACCTAGCAACACCATGACATAGATGTTGTCTGTGAATGAGAGTATTATTCATTCAAAAATATTGTCATAAAATGTCACGGAGAGACAGATACAGTTGAGTTCAAAATCATTAGCCCCCTAGGAAATTTTAGGTTAATTACAAACATTTTCCCAAGTGCTGTTAAACAAAACAATGCTTTTACAGTAATTTAGCTTTTCCAAGTTCCTATTATTTTGGATGCTTGCATTAATATACCTTTCACACTGAACTAGTGAGAGATGTCTACAAACCCTAGAACAAATACCAAAACACTACTTGATGACATAGCCAAGTCAGAAATTCTCAATTCTCAATAGCACTGTACAGAAATGGACTACTGGGATGCAGGCCGAGAAAAACTCCCCATTTACAGAAGAGACCCCTTCAAGCCAGACTGGAGTATGCTAATAACAGTCTGGAGAAAGATTCCGCCCGTAGTTAAACACTGTGGTGGGAGTAACAAACTGGGGGAAGCTTCAATTAATCTGGAACCTGGAATCTGCTATAGGTTGACGTAATCATGAAGGAAGAAGGATATGCTAACATTTTTAAATAAAACCTCAAGCAGTTTGCAGCAAACTTTTCTTTGTCTTCCAACATGACAACCGCCCAAAACATGCATTGTTCTAAGTGAAGAACTACCTCCAGAATACAAAAATGAATGTTATTCACTGGCCTGCACAAAGCCCGACTTGAATCCCATTGAGAATCTTTTGAGAAAACTGAGGACCAGGGTCCATGCTAGAATATCATAAAATCTGGAGGAGTTTGAAAGATTCACCAAGGAATAAGGAATAAGAGGCAGGAGATGTTTAACTTGTTACAAACTACAATAAATAACTGCATGTGGTTATCCGGCAAAAAGGACACACAACTGACTATTAACATTAGAGGGGCTAATAATTTTGACCCTAGTGTTTTTTGGTTTCTTTGTGCAAAGTGCAATAATATAGGCATCCAAAAATAAAACTAGGATGCTGGGAAAAGCTGTATTAAAAATTAATTAATCAGTTGAATAATTTGTTCCTATTGTCCTTTTCTTTTTTATCCTTCTTCCCCTTTTATCATCATCCAATCACTAGGGAGCACTGGAGACACTACTTCGAAATTCAGACTAACAGAAGAGCTGCCACTCATTCGCAATCTAGCGTGACTTATATTATATTAGTGTTGTTTTCTTTTACCTGTATCTTCATTTGTATGCCTATTTCTGTGCTGCTCTCTGGCCTTCCCCTCTTTCTGTTTATCACAGTTTCCCTGTCTCACTTTCTCCCTGTTTGTTTCCTCTTGATTCCTTTTATATCTCACAGAGAAGCTCCTCAGAGGATTTAACTGGAGCTGTCTGATCTGAATAAATGTTTGTGATTAGAACTGGGACCGTCTTGTGTTTTGAGCTGTCTATGTGGGAGTTTTGAGCTCAAGTCATCCTGCACCGCAGCAGTGTTTAAATGAGCTTTTGTCAAAACATCCCTCCTTCTTCCATCTGCCACTCTCAGCTTGAGCCATCTATTTTCTAATGACTTGTGAGACATACAGAGAGCCTCAATCTTTATTTCTATCAAGGCAAACAACAAAGTTGAGGAAAGGTTTACCTATCGTTCCATCCATCCATCCATCCATCCATCCATCCATCCATCCATCCATCC